CGTGCACATGTGCAAAGGGGAATTTCATCAATATCCAACACTTCCCGCTGTCGCAGAACAAACTGTCATCGAGTGGACCCCCCCCCCCATGAGCAAAAGAAGGCTAGCATGGCTCAAGATCGTGACCAATTCAACGGTTCGGACATCTAATGGACTCTCACAAAACAAACTACGAACCCTCTTCACACATTCTTCAATGTCAGTCTCCAGTTGTTTGAGCTGTTCGGCATACGGTCCTTGACCATACCGCTTCAATACTGCTATATCACCTTCATCAAGTGCTGAAATAGGTTTGATATTAGTTAATCAAACGAAACAATCATTACATCTCACCAAATAAATCCCTCAATTCCCTCCGCTTACCTTGAAATGGTTTGTCATCTTCGGCGTCAATGTCTTTCTTTTGCTTTCGCATGTCAGCTCCAAGATGGTCAGGCATTTTGATGTGATGGATTCAGGAACGAAATACAGAAGCAACCAGTCAGGAATGTGGATTTACTAGAAAATGAAACTGTATGTCAAATGCAAGCCTTTGAATGATATCGAGGAGAAATAACACAAAGATACGGTAACATTGACTCTTTATCAACCTTACATCTTAGGAAACAAAAATGGAAAACAAATAAAGAAAATGTGACAAATCAAACGAATTGTTACTCAAAATAGATGCGAAAGAATCTGGCCCAAGTGGATTAACGACGTAAATGGCTGGAAGGAGCATTCAGTATTACCAAATACAAGTTTTGTTTTGAAGTTTTGCATCGAAGCTCAGAAATCCTTCGATATTACACGAAATAGATTAGATACACTGCGCTGGGAAATTGGTTGGAATGAACTCATCCGAGAAATAAGTCATTTGGGAAATACTCTGTATTCAAAAAGGAAGAAATGTTCACGATGACAAATCAAAATTGTTGTCGCGACTGGCGCATGGGAGTCGCAGTAGGGCACGCAATCTCCCAGTATCTGTGGGCCCGCAGTTGCGAAGGGCGTGTCAAAATATATCAGGCAGATGGTCTTCCACTTAGTGCAAATCTTTCGAAACTTCAATCTAACACTTTTAGGTGATCACTAGGAGGTGATCGGGTGGGAAGGATGAGTACCGAAGCCATGGTTTTATTTAGGCTAGCCTGGCGCCGCCGTGAGGCTACTGCATAACGACTATTTTCGCCTCAATACTTTCGACGAAACTTACGTTTTGTACGTTCACGCAACGCTACAACGGAGAGAGGGAAGGCTTTATTGCTTCGTGTCGCGAAATAACGAAGAATTTGGTCATAAGGATGACCTTGGCACACGTATAATAAATAACCGTATTCAAATATCACATGGAAACCCACGTATCATAACCAGGATAGTTAGATTTGATCTAGAGCCCTGAGGGCAGCGTTCATAGTTCGCGACAGCAGCGGCGATCGCCGCGATCGCCGGCGATCGCGGCGATCGTCGGTGCATGGCAGCGCGCGCCCCAACGCTATTGTGAATGCTCGCCTGATGAATAAGGGAATTCAACTTGTAAAACCTTCTTTACTCTTAATAAGGGCTACTAACAGACAAACTACGACTTTCTACACATATGCAGATCTGGAATATGAGGTAAGAAGGTACTTCCTTTTAGGTCGGGGTAAGACCAACTCCATTTCCTGGGTGAGCTTCTTTTTTTTGTTTTTATTGTTTCAATTTATGCATGCGCCTCAGGAATTCCTATCGTCTAAGCTGTTCCAACTTCCAAAACATTCATAGTTTACAAGTCGAGTTCAAACAACGAAGAAAAAAAAAGAAAAGAAACTCTCCTAGGAACCAAAGCACTAATCATTTTACGCGACATCAACAGGTGAAAACTTCATAAACCTCATGTACAACCTCGACGAATGAAAAAAGAAGCAATAAAAACGTACCTCAAGTGAAGCTCTCGCGCTTTTTGCTCATTTCTATCCTAAATAAGAAAGAAAATAGAAAACAAAAGCGATTAAGCTGGGCTCGCCTTCCCTTGTGTCAAACCAAGCTTCAGTACCTAAGGAAATTGCAGTCAAAGGAAAAAAAGCATAAAATTGAGCCGCTTACCCCCAGAAGCCTTCGGAGCGCAAGTAATAGCGTTGGGGCGCGCGCTGCCATGCACCGACGATCGCGCGATCGGCGATCGCGGCGATCGCCGCTGCTGTCGCGAACTATGAACGCTGCCTAATGGCCAACATGAAATGTGTGTTGAACAGAACTATCACAGAAGAAAGACAGGTTAAAGACAGGTACAAGGATAGCTGGATGACCCGACGTGCGAACAATGAATGGAAGGCTGAACAAATGTACAACACACTAACATGAATCCAATAACCCGAGCAGGTATGGGCAGTGATCTGTATAATTGTATTTAAACGAGGAAAAGAAAACAAAAAGAGACCAGAACCCTGGCGTCTATGTACAATAAAGATGCAAGGCCCGAAATAGAAGTTAATGCAACAATGTTATTAACATTATCTACAAAACCTGTGAACCAAAAGCTACTCTGGTGACAATGGAGAAAACAGGAACCCGGTGACAAATATGATGATCTATTTGAGATTGCTGGCAACCAACCGGACGAATACGGCGATGACGAGACCAAGTCGGCCTGATAGGTGTCTTCCGTGCGTTGGTCTGAAATAAAGAATGGCCTAAGAAGGTCAGCTCAGAGGGGAGAGGGGTCCACGTAGCAGCTGAAACTATCCCATGATTTCCATCTCCCGGCCAACATGACTTTTCCCGCGTCGGTTCCCTGCCTTATAGCCTGGGTCGCGGCGCCCCCTCTGAAGGAGTGTGTGGTTAGCTTCTTATGTTTTAGGCCAGCGAGGTTTATAATTTTGATAATGGCTTTAGAAACTGTGTGCCTGGTAGGAGGCCCGGTGGCCTGCGGAGCTAAAAAGGAATTTTTGTGGGAGAAGTGGACTCCTCAAATGGCAGAAGGCCTTCCATAGGGTGGTTTGGAGCAAGTTCCACTTGACAGCTATAGTGGTTCCCTGACTCCCCTGGTCCGTTTTGGATTTCTTAATGAGGATCCACCAGGTCCCCTGGCCTTTATAAGAAAAATCTTCAAACTGGAGGAGCCTGATTTCGCTCACCCTAAGAAGCCCTGAGAAAGCCAGCATAACGCTGGTAGCTGCCACTATGTTTTGGGGGGAGCCGCTGGATAGGGCGAACTTGATTATGGATTCGACGTCCGACAGGGAGGCCTTGTTCCTGTGACGAACGGGGACCCTGTTTCTTTTAGCGCCGTTTAACAAGGCTCTGAGGACGCCCCCGTCGTCAACAGGCAGAGGGCCAAAAAAATGGGAGAGCGCCGCCACATGGTACCCCAGGAACCGATTTTGACCTCTATGTATTAGGTTATCGATAAAAATATTGCGTAGCTTGGAGATATCCAATGCGAAACTACCCCAGGTCTCGGCGAAGTCCAGGAACCTCTTCTTGACCCTAGTATAGATCTTAAGGGTGCCTGGGGCTATGGAGTGGTCTATGCAGGCCTGGATGATCTCGGCTACCGCCGCTAATCCGTGGTTGGCTGCCAGAGTCGCCGTCGCCTGGGCTGCCGCGTGCCGATCTCCGAGGGGAATATCTGTAAAAAGAGATAACAAGTCCGGGCAAAAATATGAACTATCGAAGAAATCAGCTAGGGCCCGGACGGTGGGGGTCACGATGACCGCATTCCGGCTTATTGCGGTCATCGTGACCGGTTCGTGTCGCTCAATCAGGTCTCGTCTTTTCCTTTTTATCGTTTACTTCTCTTCTTTTCGAGTGGGACGGCATTTTCTTCGATTATTCATAGCCTTTCTTCACAAGGAGCACATCAATCCCGTGTATTTCAAATTTCTCATTCCCTTCAGCGTCACGCGATTTCCTATCTATGGCGTGCACGAGTGTTTATGCCGCCTTGTTTGATTGTCATTCCGTTTACAGCAAGTCAGGCTATAGTTTCAGTCCTTTCGGTGGTACAGGCGTTTAGCCAAGATTTCTTTGGTCGATATTGTTGCCGTTTCGGAATTCTTTTATTGCGGATCAACACAGTTTTTACCTAGGTGAGCAAAAAGTAGATAGTCCGCTTGGCTTCCGAGGGGTTAAAAATTTTCAACTACGCTACTTTTTCTCTCAGTTATTAGAATATTTGAGACTCTTAGTTTTTACTCCTACTCAGGCTCTTTTTTTCCAGCAGCCATGGTCTTTTCTGGGGTATTGGCAGGTTGCCAAGGGTTCGTTGGTCGTATAGTTTTGCCGTTTCGGAATTCTTTATTTCGGTTCAACACAGTTTTTTTGCCTAGGTGAGCAAAAAGTATATAGTCCGCTTGGCTTCTAAGGGGTTAAAAATTTTTCAACTACTCTACTTTTTCTCTCAGTTATTAGAATATTTGAGACCCTTTTCCAGGTTCATCGCATCCGGCAACATGGATCACACGGACACATCAGCCACGGGGGTCGAAAGTGCTATCAACGAGAGCGTTATCATGTCCAGGTAGGACTACGAAGGGCTCTTGCAGAGAGCGAACCGCACAGGTGCATCAGAAGTCTCCTTTGCCTTCACTCAACCTCCGACCGCTTCGACCAGTAAACCGACTTTCACGAGAGCAGGCCTGCAGCGTCAATACGAGTTCAACAGCAGCATTCTAGAATTGATCGCTCCTGTGGCCCAAGTGGCCCCGGAAGAATTCGACGTCAAGAATTTGCTGGATAAGGCCGTAACGGCCTTACGTCAGCGGAATGAGCTCCTCACCGTGAACAAAGACCCAGAAGTTTGGGAGCTCTTCGACCAACACGGCAAAGCGCAAAGTTTTGATGTGTACTGCATTCCTTTCCTGAGGGAGAAAAAGAAGCAATAGAAGAAGGAAGTCGGCACCAGAGCGGGATGGGGTCGCCCCACCCCTATCGGTCAGCTAACTTCCGGCCCTTTCGAGCCGGAGGGGCGACGTGGGACCTCGCCCCTCCTCCCTTCTCCCTCCCTCCCTTCGGTCGCGGTGGGGCGTCCGGTAAATCCAACTCCCCCTACCGCAGTTTCTTCGAACGGAGCAGCAAACCAATTTGCTTTGACTGCGGCAAGCCCGGCCATTTCAAATCCGAATGCAGAGGCACTTCCAAAAAGTGAGTTTTTAGCAGGAAGTATCCACAAGAGGATGCCATTCTGGTTGGCCCTAAGTCTTTCGGATTTGATTCGCTCCACCGTAAAATTTGGTTTTAGGCCTGCTTGTATAGTCCAACCAGAAATGGAAACGAAACGAAACGGAAACGGAAACGATGTTCTCTAGAAATAACTTACAATCAGCATTTGGATTTTCTTCTTTTGTAGATTCGGAAATCAGTAATCTGCTCCTGAGCAAAGCTATTCATGAGATCGTGGATCCCCGTTCTATTCGTGTCAATCCTATTTCGGTGGCAATGGGTAAGAAATTACGTCTCATTTTGGACTTTTCGGCCCTCAACAAATGC